GGCACCGGGCTGATTGAGTGCGTGCTCTCCGGCCTGCTCTCGATGAGCGGGTACAAAGTCCTGCACGTCGATCGCAATGCCTACTACGGCGGGGCGAGCGCCTCGCTCAACCTCGAGCAACTTTACCAACACTTCCACAAAGGCCCCCCGCAGGCCTCATTGGGGGGCAGCCATCTCTACAATGTCGATCTCATCCCCAAGGTGTTGATGTGTGCGGGGGAGCTTGTGAAAATCCTCCGCGCGACGGTGGTGGAGCGCTACAGCATGGAGTTTATGCTGCTGGACGGCTCCTTTGTCCTCAAGGACGGCGCGATCGCGAAGGTGCCGGCGACGGATAAAGAGGCCCTGATGTCCCCGCTCATGGGCTTTTTCGAGAAGCGCCGCGCGGCGAAGTTCTTCTCCTTTATGTCCGCCTACCAGGCGGACGACCCGCGGACCCACAAGGGCTACGACCTCAAGACGATGACGATGGCGGCGCTTTATCAGGCCTTCGGGATCGGCAAGGACACCATCACCTTCGTCGGCCATGCCGTGGCCCTGCAGAGCAATGACGATTACCTCCAACAGCCCGCGCATGATACCGTGATGTTGTGCAAATTGTACGAAAACAGCTTTCATATGTACTCCACCTCGCCCTATGTGTACCCGCTTTATGGGTGTGGGGAGCTCCCGCAGGCCTTTTCGCGGCTTTCCGCGGTTTATGGCGGGACATATATGCTCCAAACCCCCGTCGATCGCGTGAATTTCGACGCCGACGGGGTCTTCGAGTCCATCGAAAGCGAGGGAAAGAAGGCCCACGCGAAGTTCGTCGTGGGCGACCCGTCGTACTTCCCCGACCGCGTCCGGGCGGTCGGGAAGGTGGTGCGCGTCATCGCGATTATGGATCACCCCATCCCCGGGCTGAAAACCTCCGCCAAGTCCTGCCAGATCATCATCCCGCAAACCGAATTACGGCGAAAAAACGACATGTACATCCTTCAACTCTCAGGGGATAACAAGGTATGCCCGGCGGGGAAGTTTATCGTGATTATCGGGACAGTCGTGGAGAATTTGCGCGATCCGGAGGCGGATGTGCGGCCCGGGCTTGAGTTGATCGGCCCTCGGCTCGAGACATTCATCGCCGTTTCGAACATTTACGAGCCGCTGGAGGATGGCCACGCCAGCCGGTGTTATATCAGCAAAAGTTATGACGCCGCCACCCACTTCGAGAGCGCCGCCGCGAATATTTTAGAACTTTTTAAGACCATACATGGGAAACCCTATGACTTTGAAAAGACAACGGAGCCTGGTTGCGCTCGGTAATCCGGGAGAGGAATGATTTATAGTCTTTTTTTAAATTCTTACTTCACCTTGGACGTGTGTGATACAGAGGAGAAGGGGGAGGGGTAATGAAAGGTCGAATGCGCAGTTTTATGTCATTATTTTTACTAAAACTTATGGTATTCTCAGGAAAATCTCATTATTCGTCATGCCTTGTCTTTTTAATATAGCGGCATAGATGTGAGTTCTTCTTGGTTTGGATTTCTAGCCTTCACAACGGTCACTTTTAAATTCTTCTTTTTTCTCTGATTAGAGCTCATTTTTTTTTTTGCTTGAATGATAACAATGCGGATACGTTGGGTGGTAAATTGCAATAATAGCAAGGCAATGCAAGGATAAGTATAAACAATTGGACTGATTTCCGAGTCGGTAGTCAGTAAAAGCGTAAAATGCTTGTTATTCCCCCTCCCCCCTCTTCGAAATCTTTCCTGTCTTTAATAGCATACGGTTACCCTCCCGAGAAATGTTTAGGTTCCCTTGTGTGTGAGAGTCCTTTATGCTATTAATTGATAATGTTTGAAATTTAGCGGTTTACATGAACACGCTAATCTATGAATTCATCCCGAGTATTTTAAGGAACAACTTATAGGGTAATCAGAGTATCAATGACATTTAAAAGTTTATACAAACTTCTCTCTTTCTCTCTATACATATGAGTAATGCATATATATATGTGTGTAATATATTAATTTTCTCTATTATTACATAGAGAAACAAAAATCGAGGAAAAAACTACCCCGCATGCAATAAAGAATACTAAAACATTGATTTGATCTGATTGGCTTAAAGGAGCCTTTTCTTTTTAGGGTACTTTTTTTATTTTCTACTTCCTATGACGTCTATTTCCTACGGAATTTTATCTCTGTGCTTTGTAGAATCGATATCCACAAGGAAATTCATGGCAAACACGCCCTTCTCCATATCGGAAGGGTCTTACGGTTGGTTTAGTTCGATTTTATTACGGGAGTTTATTTCCGCGCATTTTCGCGTTCGTTGAAGAGCCGCTGGTGGAATGTTTTGTGGATTGCCCCGCCAGTCCATCGGCCGTCCATGGACCGCACACGAGGGCCACGCTGAGGTTGATTGATCCTTTAATGGATGATCCTGTATACTCTGGGGATGGCTTTGGATGGACTTATGGATGGTAATCCTCGAGAAGAGAGGATGTTTTCCTCATGGAAATGGAATTATGAAGTGTTCGCCCTTTTTTGATCTATCGCGCGGTATTCTTTCAAGGGTCTTCCCGGCCTACGATGGGTGGGGGCGGCCTCGTTGAACGGTGATCCGCCGTGTAGCCGATGATTTGCCCTACCTCCCCTCTTTGTTTTTTTTGGTATTTCCCGCTCACAGCTCTTAAGATTTTTTTAATTTTTATCTTTATTCGGGCTCGCTGTTTGGTTCTCCTCAACTGTGGACTTTGTGGGCATCAAACCAAAGGTCTACAAAAGCGTACGCCAACCTTGTTTTAACCTCTTCCATGGTGGAATTGAGATTGGTAAAGCGAAAAAAGAAGCCTCGCGGACTTGTTCGAAGCGAAAAGTTAGACCATTGACTTGGGGAGGTAAGCTTGGAGCGTGAAAGGGAAAAGTATTCAATTTACCATACGGGTTTGAAGCCCATCACAATTTAAAATAATTTTACTCATTTTTTTTGTTTTGTCTAGAAACACCATTAAAAATGAATTAACATTGGTCCATACTTATTATTATTATTCTCTTACCAACTCCTCAAAGTTGAGGCCCGAGATGTCGAGCTTTTTCAGTTCCCAAAGGGTTATATTGCTTTGTTTTTGAGAGTTATTTGTAGGTATTTTTTCATAATCGGTTGTGTTAGGGACTCGGATATTTTCGAGACGCTGGCTTGGCGCATACCACCGCAGGCCTCTGAAATGTTTTTTTTTATGACTTGTGAGTGCCATAGAAGTAGAAAAAAAAAGATTGTTGGCAGCCTCTCATCATCTGGATTGGATCTCATCTTTGTGAATGGGATCTCCTCAGTGATTTTTTTTCCCCACCTTTGTTTGGTATGTGGCTACTTCATTGTTTTAATGTTTAATGGAAATGCCATCGACCTGTGATGGATTTTTTATCTTTGTTTGTTTAAATTGAAACACGCGCCGCGGTGCGTTGTCAAATTTGTTTTGACGAGAGGGGTGTGAGCCGCAGCCCTCACGACGGACCCTTTTCACATCCTCGTGTGCAAACCCACTCTGGCATGCAAGTCGAGCCTTTTGGGCTTATTTTCTCCATTCCCCGCACGATGGATCGCGAACGGCGCTACCAATGCCGAGTTCTGATAGCGTAATGGATGGGCCGTTGGGCTTTTTCTTCCTTTTTCTTCTTTGATCCCCTCTTTTTAAAATATTGTTCTCTCTTTTCCTGTGTAGCTTTCCCAGTATATCAAGGCCTTACATATTTTTCGGTGTGTCGCAACCACCACCACCACCACTCCCACCACCAACCGCAGCCAAGCCCCTGTCCCAGGCGTGTGAGTGTGTGGGGCCCTACATGGAAATACCGCGATTACCCTCCCCCGCGAAGCCGTTTTCACCCTCAATTCCCAGGAATTCCCCCCCGGGATGCCCTCGAGCGGCGAGCGCGAGGACGCGGCCCGGCGGGCCTTCGGGGACGTCGCGCAGTCCATCCTCGCCCACGGCCGCGCGATGGAGACCTTCAACATC